CACTATTCAGCGACGCGTGTAGCGGGTCGGGGAGGCTACGACTACAAGGGAGGCAGCGGCGGTTGGTGAGCTGAGGCACGGCGAGGCGGAGCTTGGTGGAGGGAGCTCGGCGCTGGAGGCTGGTCGTCGGAGCTCGGCGGGGCTTGGAATGGGGGCGGCGAGCAGGGAGGAGCTGGAGAGAGGGAGGAGGCAGCGGTTCGGTCTGGTGGTCGCTGCGGATGCTGGCGACGTGGGCGTTGGGTGGTTCGCGTGGCAGCGTGGCTCATGGCGGAGGTGGCTTTGGGCGGTCAGGCAGCAGGTGCGGGGTCTGAGGCCGCAGCTGGTCGGATGAGGGCGGAGCTTGGGCTGCGACGGGGCAAGGGGATCTCGGCGGTCAGCGGAGGAGCTCGAGAGAGGGAGCTTTGGGTGACGGCAAACTCCAGGGGAGCAGCGACGAGCCGGCAGCTGGCGTGGAGTCGACGTTCGAGCGGGAGGCTGATCACCGGGGAGAAGGCGGTGCGGAGGACTGGAGCATGCCACGTGGACGAACGGGCGCGATAGGGAGGAATAGAGTTGGGCAGGTCGGTGAGAGGATGAAGGTGAAGATGGAGGCGTGGTTGCTGGGTTTTGGGCGAGCGGGGAACGGCGGTGGCGGGTTGAGGGGACGGTGAACGGCACTGGTGAGACGAGGGTGTGCGGAGCTTGACGAAGGCGCTGAGGTGGGGCGTTCCGGTCGAAGAGGGGTCGATGCGCGGCTGTTGAGCCGGCGCGATCGGTGGGAGTGATGAGGCCGGCTGATGAGGAGGGCTGAGTTTGAATTGAAGAGAGGAGAGAGCAGTACGGAGTAGAGATGGTGATGAGGGAGAGAGGAGAGTGATGGGGTTAAAAATAATTGAAAGAAAGAAGAGTGAAGAGTGATTCTTTTGAAAGGAGGGGTGGGGGAAATACGAGGTGAGTGTGTGCGGGAATTAGGGAGTGAATTGGGGAAGTGGGGTAGGGGAGAGAGAATGGCTGATGAAGAGAGAGAGAAACAGAGTGAAATACCGCAGAGAAAAACATAGAAAAAAATATCCCTTTAAATAATAATTTAAAAATACCAGAAAATTTATTCAAATAAATATTCAAAATTTATAGTCAAAATAATAATAACAATAACAATAATAAATATTTAACTATTAGTTTAAAAGTTTTACCGAAACAATTAAATTTATAATTAGCAAAACCATTAAAATAAATATAAAATTGTATTTTAAATCATAGAAAATTCTAGAGAAATTAGGAAAATACAAATACTCTTTTAGAAAAATAATATTTAATGTTTAAACACCAGAAAAATTATTTAAGCCAGTATTAAAAATTTACGGTCATTACACTTGGCCGAGCCTTTGTGGGGTGTATTTGGTGGGAAATTAGTAAGAAGAAAATTGAGAACAAAAATGTGTTATTCTCTCTAACCGACTTCTCTAACCGACTTAGACAAAGAATGGTTATAACACTCTCAATATAATTTCTCTCTAACAGACTTAGAAAAAAAAGTTACAATCTTCTTGTATCGGAATTCCTATTTACAAAAGAGAAGAAGATCGACGGAGATCCTTCCCTTAGTTTAAAACTAGGTTCTTCATGGTAGCGATGAGATGCCTCCCTCGACATTCGTATTGAGTTTGCTTCTCGTTGACGATCCGATGTCTCACTTCACTGGAATAGTTAATATAAACTTATTTGAACAAGTTTGAAAATAACTCTTTAGAGTTTATGAACTCATAACGAGTTTAAACTCTGTAAAAGAGTTATTGTTAAATCGAAAATTCGGTTAATGAATTAAGTTATCCATTGCTAAAAAAGATACCTCAAACCTCTTTCTGAATTAGCCCAAAATCAGATTTCTTTTGCCAAAATCTGATCTGTTAAAATCTGATCCGATCCCCCAAAAAATCTGATCCTCCTAAAAAAATCTGATCCTTTTACTCCGTTAAGTTGATTGGATATTTATAGGAGGATAAGGGGGTGTAACTGACCCTTTAATCCGCTCCTAAGTGGGCGAAAATCCCTCAATACGTAGGGAAAATGGTTTTGAAGCCGTTCAGCTCGTGTTTGAACGAGTCAAACGCCTCAAGCTAGCGTTCTGGAACCGAACTCTGCGTCTCAGGCTTGGGACGCAGAGTTAGGCATCTGCCTAATGCTGAAACGTAATGGCCGCTTTGCGTTTTGAAGCTAAAACACAGAGGTCGCTCTGTGTTTTGAAGCTGAAACGCATAGGTCGCTTCTATGTTTTTCAAAAAGATTGTAGGTTTGTAACCTCCTCTGTTAAAGTATTGTAAAGACCATTGTTCTGTAATCTTTACTTTAGCTATTTTTGAGATGAGAGTCGTCAGATTGTAACTCTTGCTGTTGATTATGAAGCCTGTTGAATCAGAGCTTTTCATCGATTGTCGTGCAGGTCGTTGAATTATAACCTTTCTCGATCTACATAAAAATTCTCCAATTGTAGCTTTCGTTTATTAACATAAAGGTCGTCTGATTATACCTTTCATTATCGAGATACTGATGTAGAAGTCATCAAATTGTAACTTACATCATTGAAGTTTGGTAGGGATCAGCTACCTGTTGTGATTTTTAGACAGCCTACAGAAGCCCCTCCAAAGTGTTAGACCCTAGAGGGGGGGTGATTAGGGTCTTATGCTAATCTAATCCGATTTTATGCCAATGGGGGGGTGATTAGGGTCTTATGCTAATCTAATCCGATTTTATGCCAATTAAAAACTAATTAATAAGTTATCCTAGCAAGTATGAAATACAACAAAATTAATAAGTTATCCTAGCAAGTATGAAATACAACAAGATATATGAGCTAGGATAAGCAATATGAATAACGAGATATATCCTATATGATAAAATATATGCAAGGATATATAAACTAACACAAGGGGAAAATAAACAAAGCAAACACACAATATGATCATGGAGTTTGGACCTTCCGTCCTACGTCTCCACTCCTCACTCCCGGGGAGAAATCCACTATCACAATCGGATTTTCTACGCTCACCCGAATAACGTTTACACCTCACAATGTCGGTTTTCAATGCTCACTGATCAACGTTCACAAACACTCACAATGTCAGTTTTCAACGTTCACCGATCAACATCCACTCCTCACACTCGGTTTTCTAGCTCACCAAAAACTTTACAACACTAACAATGTAACAACAAATATGTTCTCTACAATAGATGAGAACTCAATGTAGCTCACTCTCAATTGTTATAACTCCCCACAACCCAAATTATATTAAGTATGAAAATACAATAAGCTCAATGATTGTGTGTGTAAGCAATGAGAAAAATTAAATCAACTAAAATCAAATATAAATACTAGCTTAATAGAATGATAATCAAACAATATAAAAGTAAAGCTAGATTGAGTTTAGAAAAATTCTCCAATAAATGACAAGAGTGAGAGAGAGATGATTTGAAGCTCAAACACCAAGTGATGATCTCTTCTAGCTCTTGTGAAATTCTCTTCACAAACAAACTCTTAAACACTCTTTTAAACAAACACAAAACAAACTTAAACCCTTGTTAAGCTCTTTTAAAACATTCTCTTAGTTATACATGAAAGATGAGAGCAAGGGGGTATATATAGCCTCCCAAAATCTTAGCCAAAAACCCCAAACAAAAGACAAAAAAGCCCATAGAAAAAATCTCAGGAAAAGAGCCTTTGAAGCAGATTTGACTGTTCGGCGGTCGACCGTGAGAATCGCACGGTCGACCGCGAGCAGTAAAAAGGCCAGGGTTTAGCTCTGGACAACAAACGGTCGACCGCGACGGCAGACCGCGAAACTCTTTGGACTTCATCCGGTCGACCGCCA